TAGTTTCTTTGAAATTTACCAAGGTTTACTGTATGCACTGATACACAGGCAGGTCTTTAACTATTTTGTGCTTGCTTGGAAAGAATATGTAATTTTTTGTTTTATTCTGGGATTCTTGTTCATCCATTAAGTGAAGCTTTTTAATCTTCAATGTCTGTTTCTCCTCTTTTGCACATGCTTTGTTGTGAATGGATTGGGTCTCCCTGTAGCTTCCCATCCTCTGTTACTCAGCGGGCTTCCCTGAGGTGCATTTCAACGTGTTCTGCCTTCTTCAGCCTGTTTCCGTAAACTGATAGTTGGGCTTAGGCAGTGCTTGCATCAGATTCAATTTCTTTTTCCAAGGCTATTCACCGTGAATAGCCCTTTTTTGATCACAAGACTCGATTACTTTTTTGTAATGTTAGCAGCCATCGTATTTGGTGTCTGGACCCCTTAGTTCATTAGAAATTAGGAAATGATCATCTAATTCTGTTACTCCTTTTCATTTCCTACCTGGAATACTTATATACCGAGAAACTTTTTCTCATTTATTATTTGTCTAGCCAGTGGTATGGTTTGTTTATGAAAGATGAGTTCCTGTGTATTTTCCTTTATTTGCTGGTTTTTACTATGGTAAATTTGTTCCCTTTCTTAGTCTAAAGATTATCATTTCTTTGTATTGGTGTAAGCTCACTGATTAAAAAATATTTAATGTTTCCATACATAGCATGTATTATTCTTGTTGTGCAGATCCTCACGTCTTGGCCAGTGGAGGTTTATTCAGCTCTTTTAGTATGACTATGGTAGTCTTTGATAGCTTTTTAAATAATGGGATGAGATGTTCTAAGCTCACCATGTGTATTTCTCCATTTTTCCAAGGAACCTTAATTCCTTCTGAGGAAAAATGGTATTTGAATTTCACAATCTGTTGGCTAGGACTGTACATTTCTATAGGATCAGACTAGACAATACTTTATTATCATTTTAATGCAACCAGGTAATTTTAAGGTGATAGGAAAATTCTTTGCTGATTATACAATTGTATGAAGGAATTGATTTTTATTACCAAAAAGTTGTTAATATTAAAAAAGTATTTTACAAAATATATCAGCTGAGCTGATAGTATCTTTTGTTTTTTTAAGAAAATGGTGGTGTTTTATTTCTTTTTTCTCCTTTTTTAGTTAGTATAAATTAATTGTACAAAACTGCTTCATTGTGATGCTTCTAAACATGCATGCACTGTACTTGGGGTTAGGTTCACCCTCTCTATTGTACTGTCATACTTCTGCCCCACTTTTTGAGCAGTGTTTAGCAGGTTGTCATTGTGTTGTCTTATGTATTTGTATATGTGTTCACCCAGTGTCCTTTCCTCCATCCTGCAGACAGTCCCTATTTTACATTCACATTCCATTATGAGCATTATTATCATTTTAATTTTAGGTCTGGATTCCACATGAGTGAAAACAAATGATGTTTACTTTTTTTTTTGAGTTTGGCTTATCTCGGTCAACACGGTGATCTCCAGTTCCATCCATTTACCTGCAAACAGCATATTTTCAGACTTTTTTATGGCTAAATAATACTCCACGGTGTATATATACTACATTTTCTTTATCCATCCATCAATTGTTGGGCACTTAGGCTGATTGCATAGCTTAGGTATAATGAATAGTACTGCAACAAACATGGGTGTGCAGGTGTTTTGATTGTATATCGATTTATACTCTTTTGAATTTATGCTCAAGAGTGACATAGGCTGGACACCGGTAGCTCATGCCTGTAATCCTAGCTACTCAGGAGGCAGAGATCAGGAGGCTCATGGTTCAAAGACAGCCCAGGCAAATAGTTTGCAAGACCCTATCTCGGGAAAAAAAAAAAAAAACACCTTCACAAAATAAAGGCTGGTGGAAAGTTATGGAAACAGTCAAAATGCCTCACTACTGACGAATGGATTAAGAAAATGTGGTATTTATACACAATGAAATTTTACTCAGCCATGAAGAAGAATGAAATTTTGTCATTTGCAAGTAAATGGATGGAACTGGAGAACATCATCCTGAGCGAGGTTAGCCAGGCTCAGAAGACCAAAAATCATATGTTCTCCCTCATATGCAGACTTTAGATCTAGGGCAAATGCAGCAGTGTTGTAGGACTTGGGTCACATGCTAAGGGGAGAGTGCATACAGGAGGTATGGGGATAGGTAGAAAACCCAAAACATAAAAGTGTTTGATGTCCCCACTGCAGAGGAACTAATACAGAAACCTTAAAAGCGACAGAGGTCAATATGGGAAGGTGATCAGGAACTAGTGAAAAGGTTAGGTAGAGATGAATCTGTTTGTGTTGTAACACATTTGTATATGGAAGCAATGCTAGGAATCTCTCTGTAAAGCTGTCCTTATCTCAACTAGCAGAAATGCTATGTCTTTCTTATTATTGCTTATATGTTCTCTTCAACAAAATTGGAGAAAAGGGCAGAACAGGTTCTGCCTGGAAGTGAGATGGATGGGCGGGGGAGAGGAAACGGGTAGGGGACACAGGGGAGAATGGCCCAAACAATGTATGCACATATGAATAAATGAATAAAAAAATAAAATAAAATAAAGGCTGGTGGAGTGGCTCAAGGTGTAGGTCCTGAGTTCAAGCCCCAGTACCACACACACACACACACACACACACACACACACAAAAAAAGCTTGATTTAGTAGGGTCATATGTCCATTCTGGCTGGGGTGAGGTAGCATCTCAATGTCCTTTGGGCTTACAGCTAAGGATATTGAACATTTCTTCATGTATTTATTGACCTTTTGTATTTCTTCTTTTGAGAGCTGTCAAATTTATTTTATCGCTTATTAATTGAATTATTTGTTATTTTGGTGCTTAACTTTTTTGAACTCTTTGAATATTCTGGATATTAATCCTTTGCCAGTAAATAGTTTGCAAAGATTTTCTTCCATTATGCAGGTTGTCTCTTAGTTATAATAATTATTTCCTTTGATGTACAGAAGCTTTTAAATTTGATGCAGTCCCATTTGTCAACTCTTGCTCTTATTTCCTGGGTGGTTGGAGTCCTATTCAGAAAGTATACCTATATCTTTGAGTGTTTTTCTGTATAAATTTTAAGGTTTAGATCTTACATTAAGACAGACTGAGAGATAGGGATCTAGTTTTAGTCTTCTGTATGTAGATATGCAGTTTTCCTAGCACTTTTTCTTTGAAGAATCTGTCTTTTTTCAATTTCTATTTTGGCACATTTGTCAAAAATCAAGTACCTGTGTCTGTGAATTTATTTCTGGATGTTGTATTCTGTCCCATCTGTTCTTATGTCTGTTTTTGTGACATTACCATGCTCTTTTTGTTACTATGGCTCTGAAGTGTAATTTGAAATCAGATATTTTGACACCTATAGCACTGATCTCTTTGCTCAGTATTGCTTTGGCTATTATGGGTCTTTTATGCTTCCATATGAATTTTAGGATTGGTTTTTCTGCTTCTGTGAAGAGTGACGTTGTGATTTTCCTGGGCATTGCATTGAGTCTGTGTATTGGTAGTGTACCCATTTTCACAGTATTCTGCTGATACACAAGCATGGGGGTCTTTCCATTTTCTAGTCTTTTTTTTCAATTTTCTTTCTTCATTGTTTTCTTTGTAGAGGTCTTTCACCTCCTTATTCAAGTTTATTTTTGACTTCTTTCTTAGCCTGTTCATTGGTGGTGCATCAGTTTTGTTTCCTGATACTTTCCCCAAAGTGTTTATCAGATCTTGGAGTTTTTGGGGGGAGTTTTTAGAATCTTTTAAGTATAGGTCATACCATCTACAAATGGGTATAATTTGACTCCTTCCATTCCTGTTTGTATCCTTTTTATTTCTTTCTCTTGCCTAATTGCACTGGCTAGGAATTCAAGCACTATCTTGAATAAGAGTGAGGAGAGTGGACACCTTGTCTTGTTCCTGACTTTACAAGAAATGGTTTCAGTTTTTCCCTGTTTAGTATGACGATGGCTGTAGGTTTGTCATGTATAGCCTTTGTTGAGATATGTTCCTTTTAGTCTTAGTTTCTTCAGATCTTTTATCAGAAGGGATGTAGAATTTTGCCAAACGACTTTTCTGCATCAATTGAGATGATCATGAGTCTGATCATCTCATGATCTGATGATTATGATGTCCTTGATTCTGTTTGTGTGCTGTGTTACATTTATTAATTTGCATATGTCCAACCATACTTACATGCCTGGAATAAAACTTTGTTCATCTTTTAATGTGTTGTTGAATTTTGTTTGCAAATATTTTATTGAGAATTTTTGTGGTTCATCAGGAAATTGGTCTAGAATTTTCTTTTTGTTGTGTCCTCATCTGGTTTTGGTATCAGGGTAATACTGGGTCATAAAATGCGTTTGGTAGTGTCCCTTCCCTTCCTAATTTATGGAATAGTTTGAAGAGCATTGGTGTTAGTTCTTAAAGGCATACATCGTTTCATGCCCTCCTTGCTTTCAGAGTTTCTGTTAAGAAATCTGGTATTCTGATGGGTTTGCCTTTATATACCACCAGAGCCTCTGTCTGTTGACTCTCGGGGGTTTCTCTGATGCAGTTCATTCATATACTCTCACTGGTTGGAAGGTCACCACAGTAGAGCCAACCAGACTGGCCCTGGGATATCTCAGCTACCATGCTGCTCTCACTATGCTCCCTCACAGTTATAGCAGCAAAGGACCCCATGCTAGTTCATGCTGGCATGTTTCTGTATTCCCAGTCCTGATTTCCTTAGCTCTTCTGGAGGTAGATTGGTATGAAAATGACTGTTCACTTTGGTTTTATCTGTGGGGAGAAATTGCTGGAGGGTATTAATCAGCCATCATCTTGCTCCATCTCCTTGTTGAATTGGTATTAAATGCTGTTGTATTAACTAAAGATAACGTCGTCATGTTGAAACCATATTGCAGACTTTAACCTAATTTTATGTGTTTGTTACTGTCAGGGATTTTAATAGTGGTTTAATAAATATTTCTTTTGTTTTTCCCTGTAGGTTATTTTAGTGTCTGCCAATAAATTGACTCGTTACATAGAACCATGCCAGTTAACAGAAGATTTTGGTGGCAGTCTCACCTATGATCACATGGACTGGTTAAATAAGAGACTGGTTGGTATATTACAATGAGATAAAATGTTATTGCAAATAATTCAGACATTTTGATAACTTTCTTATTTTAATCAACTAAAAATATAGATTGTTTTCCTTTGTACAAAAATGGAGAAGTGCATTGCATACTACATTATAGCTTAATGTTTGAGGACAAATACCCATTTCATCAGAGTTCATGGCCAGATGTTGGGTGTTGGGTGTATGACCTTCAGTGATTTGTTTATCTCTCCATGCCTTAGTTTTCACACCTCTAATATAGTAATAATAATAGTACTGTCTTGTGGGATTGTGGATAAGACAAAATGAATATACTTCTAAAATACTTAGAACAGTGTGCAATGGTGAATAGCACTGTGTGCTAGCTGTTGTCATTACTAGTATCAGTAAAACTTGTAAATGTTTTAAGTGGAATAACAGACTAACACAATATTTTGAGAGACCAACTGGTTGACATACTATTTTCAGCAGGTATTTAAACGTCAGTTTGAGTTATCAACTTGAGCAGTTTGATAGAAAAAGTTTTCCCTTCTGAAAGCCTATCTCCTTGTCTAGATTCCCAATCTGATGCTGTGTTATAATACATTGAACTGCTAAGAGAAAAACCTTCAAATTAACTCAGTTTAGATTAATGTGCTAATTTTATTGGAGAATAATGAAGCTTGGTTATCTCTGAATGGGTATTTCTACCATATTTGGACAGTGATATCAGACAAATGTGTGTCCTCTTTATTACATATGTTGAAACAGATTTGCCTAAATCCCTTTGTAGAAAAATTTGAAGAACTCATGTTAAAATTGTAGCTATTGTTATACTACATACCTATCTATAAAATCCTTAGGTATGATGTAAAACTGATATGGATTAGTGGTAGAATAAGATGAAGAACTGTACTGTAACTAAAATTAAAGGCTCAGAACTGGTCTAAATAGCATTCATGAAGACATAAAATTTGTTATTGGTACAAATGTTTCTCAAACACAAGAATAAAGATAAATGAAGAGTAAAATTAATTTCTTAATGTATTCAAATTTAAAAAATTCCTTTTCCATTAAAACTATTCATTGTTTTGAGATGTGATTTTGTCTTCTCTTGTGTACACTACTATGCTCTGGTAGTTGAATTGCATTGAGTAATTTCCTGGAAAGAAAAGAAAATCCTTACTGACTGTTTGTCTTAACTGAAAATCCTCATTACATATTAATTTTTTAAGATTATTCTTAGTATGCTAATAAAATCTCATATTGTAGGTGTTTGAGAAGTTTACAAAGGAATCTACATCATTATTAGATGAACTTGCTTTGATTAACAATGGAAGTGATAAAGGAAATCAGCAAGAGAAAGAAAGGTAGGTGGCTGGTGTATGTAATTACATCCTCAGAAAGTTAGGAATAATCTGTTCAAAGAGACCTGTATTGTTGGTATAAGCTAAAAGCACTACAGTAAATAATTCTCCATTCCATCAAAATTGACATACAATATGAGTGAAAATTGTTTTACACATAAAACATTTTTTGAATTAATGTTTTTTTTTATCATTTTTTTTTTCATTTTTCTTTTATTATTCATATGTGCATACAAGGCTTGGTTCATTTCTCCCCCCTGCCCCCACCCCCTCCCTTACCACCCACTCCGCCCCCTCCCTCTCCCCCCCCTCAATACCCAGCAGTTAAACTATTTTGCCCTTATTTCTAATTTTGTTGTAGAGAGAGTATAAGCAATAATAGGAAGGAACAAGGGTTTTTGCTGGTTGAGATAAGAATAGCTATACAGGGCATTGACTCACATTGATTTCCTGTGCGTGGGTGTTACCTTCTAGGTTAATTGTTTTTGATCTCACCTTTTCTCTAGTACCTGTTCCCCTTTTCCTATTGGCCTCAGTTGCTTTAAGGTATCTGCTTTAGTTTCTCTGCGTTAAGGGCAACAAATGCTAGCTAGTTTTTTAGGTGTCTTACCTATCCTCACCCCTCCCTTGTGTGCTCTCGTTTTTATCATGTGCTCATAGTCCAATCCCCTTGTTGTGTAATGTTTCTTTTAAAAAGCCATTTTTAATGAATATCAATGTGTTTACTTTTTTTGACACTGGAAAACAGTTTTCTACCCTTTTTAATTCTATTGTTTACTGGCAGAGTCTGAAATCAGTTACAGCTTAAAATAAAATGATTATAATTTTATTTAAATACACTAGAACTTAAATGGCTAGCTTGTAGAATTTCCTCTGTCTTTTTAAAATATTTGATATTCATGAGTTTAACTTAAGGAATTCAGTGTTTTATGACACTGGATGAAGTAATAGTTGAGTTGTATTATCTAAATGTAATTACCTAGACTTATCATTTCAACAGATTTCCATTGAACTTTACAACCTTGTTAAGTTTTATTTTTATGTAGGTAGACTAAGTTCCTTTCTGACCAGGTGAAAAACACTTTAAGTAGCAAGTCAGCTCCTTCTGGTCTTTTGATTATTAGTGATCACTGGCACAGTAATTTTTCATTAGGAAATCTGAAAGAATCAACAAGCATCCTCATCATAGCTCCTTTATATCTGACCTTCAATGTACAGTGGAACCTTTATAAAATGCATCTTGTTATTTTATGATTCCAAATAGTTACATACCAAGATCAGAAGGCCATAAGGGGATTATAGTTCATACCAAATGTTGATTCAAACAAGGTCAAGATATGAAAACAAATAGCCTGAATGAAAATATAGTTAAAGTTACCCCAAGCAGTTAGGAACATAACAATCCTAGATACCATATAGAAGTGTAAATATTTAAATAGGTGATTTTTTTGTGTGTATAGCTGTCACACATGCATAATACTATAATACTGTAGTTTAAGAATTAAAAATGTCACACAGTTACTTTATAAAAATTAAGCAAACATCTTTGTTTTCTGATTAGTACATCAGAATAAGTTTATGTTTCTTAGTTACTTTTCTTAGGAAAGATGTCTGAAGAATGTCTACAGAAAGTGTGTTCACGGTCAGAGTTTAAAGCAGTCAGTTTTATTTCTGCCCCTAAGAATAGCTGCAAACATAATAGATGAAGGGTTCTGAGGGATGCACTGCCCCAAAGTCTGTCATTTTGCTTCCTTAGAACGCCCCATACTTAATAGCTACAGGCCTTCTCTTTCTTTAGTAATACCTTGTTCAGTGTTTTGAGAAATACTTTACAAAGGCTGGTTTGCTTGACTACCTGAAGTATTAAAATCTTGCGTTTGTCAATCCTGCCTCAAGACACTCAAGTGTTACTGCTTTTATAGGTAGATAATAAAGTCCCTCCTCTTGCAGATTTTCATCAGCATCATTTATGTCTCTCCTAGGAAGTTTTTAGGTTTCCTGAGATAAGGGCTAGAAGAGTAAATAAAAGTGAAGGAGTTAGCTCAAAGCTGATGTGTTACAGCTTATCGCAGCCTGGTCCTTGGCTTTGATTTGCCAGGTTACTTACCTTCTTAATTTTCCCTTTCCTATAGGTGTTTAAGAAAATAAAGGAATTTAGCTGCACAAGAAATATAATTAGAATGCAGAATATGTACCCCCCCACACACAAACATATTCACATATACAAACATGCAGTGTCAGATGAAATATTGCAACGATCAAAAGTTGCTGTGCATTAGTAACAGCTCCTTCTCTTGATTGAAGGAGAGCTGCATACATTTTTAATGTTCAGGTTGCTGCATAGTTACAAATTTCATTTTGAAACATATTCAGTAGATAAATATGAAAAAGGATTCTTTTGATAACTTAAATAATAGTATAACTAATGACAATAAACTATGTTTCCAAGTAGTATGATTTTGTGATTTAAAAATTTTATGATTTATTCCATTGTATTTCTCAGGTTACTAGTATTTAATTTTCTCTAATAGGCTTCCTATGTTTATGAGAAATTAGCATGGTAGAATAGAAAGCTTCGGGTTTTCATACTATGTATCCCTGTTTTGATACTATGCATAAGGGAATTTCTTAAGTATATTGGGCAGAAATACTATAGCTTTTAAAATTTACCCTCTTGGTGCTTGCCAGGTCTGTCGATTTAAACTACCTTCCATCGGTTGATCCTGAAACAGTTCTTCAGACAGGTAATATGAAAAAGCATATTTATTAGTGATAATAATAGTCCAGTAAGCCACTAGGGTTGATTGGTCCTTTAAAAACCATTGTTTCAGGAGGTATGTGGTACACGTGGTAAGAATTTGAAGGAAAATTTTTTGGCTTAACCTAACAATGTTTTAATATACTTTATAGTATTAAAGAATTAATAATGATAAATTTTCTCTCCCATGAAATACTTGTGTCTACTTCCTATTTTGAAAAATGGAAATAGAAATTTATATTTCATTGGGTTGCTACGAGGATTATTGAATAAAACTGTGTGTCATCCATTATGTTTTCAAATTTCATTCTTCTGGCAACCCTTTGAGATAAAATAGTATTATTTTTCTGTTCTGTACTTGAGGAAGCCAAGGCTTAGGACTTTTTAAAAAATGACTTGTTCCACATCAAGTATGTGTCAGGCTCTATTATTATGTTCAAAACAGGTCTAAATGTAGAGACTAGGTATCCTATTTCGTAGTCCTCTATCTAAAAGCACTTACCCTGCACAGTGGCCTTGCACACGGTGAGTACTTGGGGCTGCATGATGTTTATTCCAGCTTATATATGTCTAGTAATTGCTTCAAAATTCTAGAACAAATTCAAATTCTTTCCAATGGACATAGCATCATTTTATTTCTTATCATTTTTATTTCTAATGGTAGGTTATAATTCTAATCTGACTGTTGCAGGCACTGTTGTAAGCACTTTGCATATGTTAGCTCATGTATTCTTCAACATAGTCCTGTCAAGTAGGTACTGCTATCTCAATTTTGAGAGGTGGAGACTGAAACATAAGAAAGTTAAGTGACTTATGCAGATTATACAGCCAGTAAAAGCTGGAGTTCAAACCTGAGCCCAAGAAGTGTGGCTTCAGAGTTTGTTCTTTGAAATAATTAGGCTCGGCTGTTTCTTTAATGGAAATGGTATCTACACAGAAAACACTAAGGGTAACAACTGTAAAAGCAGAAAAAAAAATTTATTCTGATATGAGTATCTTTTAATTGTATATGGAAATAATGTACAAAGATTTAGATGTGTTTTAAGCATCTGCACAAATCTTCAAGACAGGTGTTTTTCCAATTATAGAATGTAATTAAGAGTAATGTAAAAATTCTGAATATCTTTGTTTTATTGATCCAGTTGTCCTAAGCTTTCCAATGTGATGTAGATCTTATTTCCTTAAGAAACAAAGAAATACTTGTAATCTTAGAATTACATATTTAGAAGTTACAGTAGACTGAGACTTAATTCCATGCATGTAAAATTTTCAAAGTTTCTTATTTTAGCCATGAATTAAAAATGTCTTTTAAAATCTGTATTTTAAATTAACTTTGTATGCCACTAGGTCTTGTTTTATACACTACTAATTCTTAAGGTAGAAATTGAAAGAGTAAAAAGTGGAGAGGTTTAAAACAGTCTGGAGATAAATGTGTGTGTGTGTGTATGTGAATGTGTGTATGTGTATGTATGTGTGTGTGTGTGTGAATGGAATACTTGCAAGCCACAATGAAGTTCTGTTTCTATGTATTAAAACCCATTTAAATTTATAGTTTCCTGAATAGAGATGAGAATTTAAACATTTGTTCATTATTTTGACCTCTAAATAATAACCAAAATAGTTTTGTTCTAGAAAAATAATCTTTAAAATTGTCTTTATACCTGTTGCTTTATTTATTGTACATTCTGTGACTTTAATCTCTCATGTGAGTGGATTTCCTCCTGAGTTTGCTATAATTGAACTGCATTCACTGTGACTCTTTTGCTAGTGTGGCTTCTTAAGGTTCATAGTTAAATATGTTGTGGAGATTCCTTTAAAAATTATTCAAATACTGTTTTGTACTAGTAACGAAGATTTCTCCAGTTATGCTAATCATGTATTTATTTCACTATTCACTTGTCTTCTTAGTGTTGTGATTGAGAGTATGGATCAGTACTGTGATCCAGTGGCATATTGCTTAGTTTAGTGTCATCAGACAGAAATCCCAGAGTGTAATTTTGCTCTTCTGGGAAAGATGATTGATGGGCATTGGATCCTGACTAATGAATCCACCAGTAATAAGAATGTGATCAACCTATATCATGACATATAAGCCATACTTATGATGTATAGCATACATATTGATATATATTTATAACATATCATAGGGTGTTTTAATACATTTTCTAGTATACTCACATAGTATATATGTGCTCATATGTTATGTATGAATATATGCAGTTTTCTATTTATTTTAATACATGCATACACTTCAGTTGCATTTTACTACCTATAGGTAGGTAAATAAAGTGGTTTTCAGGGACTAGAATTTAGAAGATTGGCAAGTAAGAATTATATTTCTTTGTGGGTATTAATTACAAGTATCTTTCATTTGTTAAGGGCATGAATTGTTATCCGAATTACAGCAGCGTCGCTTTAATGGCTCTGATGGAGGGGTCTCATGGTCTCCTATGGATGATGAACTCCTTGCACAGCCACAGGTTATGAAATTATTAGACTCACTCCGAGAGCAATATACTCGCTACCAGGAAGTTTGTAGACAGCGTAGTAAGCGCACACAGTTAGAAGAGATTCAGCAGAAGGTCATGCAGGTAGGTGTCTGGTTTGAATACATCTAAATCTTTGTAATTCTAATTTTTTTCCTGATAATTTCTGTTATGTGATTTTTTTACTAAGTCTTAGTTATGCTAAGTAGAAAACTTTAGACATTTCAAATTGGATTCTAAAAGTATTTTTAGTTATGCTTCTGTTTATAAATAGTCTCTGCATGAAAGTTACATTATTTCTGCCATGATGACGTGGAACATTCATTTCACTAACAGAATAAGTTTCAAAAGCATGTAGTAAGAAAAATCAACGGTCTGTTTTCTTGCAGTAGTAACATTTGATTATTGATATTCGATTTATTCTTAATTTCCAACAACTTGTTACATTTTGTTGTTAATTTAGTCATTTAAAAGATTTTTAATCTATCAAAATAATACATACAAGTAATTCTAATATTAAATTTATTCTTTATGCTACCAATAGAAACTATTAAGTCTATTAAATTATTATGAATTTTTAGTTCCTTTTAAAATTGATTTTTTTTTGGGGAAGGGTGTAGTACTATGGTTTGAACTCAGTACCTTGCACTTTAAGGTCAGCATTCTACCACTTGAGCCATATCTCCAGCTCTTAAAGCCATATCTCCAGGTCTTAAAAATTGACTCTTTCAAGGAACCTAGGTGAAAATACTAAAAATCAGTACTAAAGGATGACATTTTTTTTAAATTTTTTTTTGGTAACACTGGGGTTTGAACTCAGGGCCTCATGCTTGCTAGGAAAGTGCTCTGCCACTTGAGGCATACCCCACTCCAAGGATGACATTTCCGTTCTTCACATTACACCAAGTTTTAATCGATTGAATTGTTAAGAAAATAAATCTTTTAAAATATTTTATTTAAAAACACAAATTAAAAATGCCCTATGTTTTTATCTAGATTCATTCATTCCTTACATAATATTTACTAAGTGCTTATTATGTGTAAGGCGTTGTACTAGATTACTGTACAGTCTAGTAGATTACTATACTGTATATAGGATATAAAGATAGACTTGATTTTTGCCATTGATAGGTTTAAAGGGAGAGAGCCTCAAGTGCCACAAAAGACATCACTGAACTACCATGAATATTTTTAAAAGGGATCATTTTTCTGGCAGCTGTAATCTAGGAAGACTTCGTGGGGGAAGTAGTAGTTGAACTTGTCCTCCAAGAGCATATAAAACTTTACTATGGTAGGTTTTAAAGAAGAATTGACATTTTGCGATGGATAAAGAATAGCATGAGTAAATAGTAGCTGCTTGAAATCCCAGCCTCTGTTGAGAACAGAGCAAGCAGTAGACCCAGTGGGGATTTTACCACACCATCTTAGTCATAGAACATGATCAGAGAGATCTCCATCCCGATTCCTCCACTTGTTAGTCACATGGTCTTGTTCACATTACTTTATTTACCAGAGACTTGCACCATCTTCTCTATGTTCCTCTCTTCTCTTTCTTTCCTTCTCTTCTTTCATTTATTAATTGAAGTAGGGATAATAACATTACTTTTGAAAGGCTAGTATTTGGAAAGAACCCAGTACTCAATTTATTTATTTCTATTTCTCTAGACATCTAGTTCAGTTATTCATCAACTTTTTCTGTAAAAGACCAAATATTTATTGCCATAGTGTTTGTTGTAGTTATGGCTACTTAACCCTGCCTTTGAAGTACTAGAGCAGCCAAGGCATTGTGTAAATGAATGTTCATGCCTTTCTCCAATAAAACTTTATTTGTATATTAAGAAAAACAGGTGATGGGCCAGAAGTGGCCTCAGACTATAGTTTGCTGACTACTGAGCTAGAACATCATCTGTTATAGGAAAAAGAGACTGAAAAGGAAAGAAGGAATTATATCATGGAAGATGTTGAATTCAGGCAGAAAA